CCCTGCCCCTGGGAGGTCCAGCTCCGAGCAGCCGTAGCCAGCATGGCAAAATTGTGTGTGGCTAAAGCCAGCTGCAAGCCATTTGTCCAGGCTTCAATATAGAAACATACAATCATAAAATGGTTTGGGTTGGAAGGGACCTTTAAAGGTCGTCTAGTCCCACCCTCCTGCAGTCAGCAGGGACATCTTCAACTGGATCAGGTTGCTCAGAGCCCCGTCCAGCCTGACCTTGAATGTTTCCAGGGATGTGACATGACAGTGTTTTGTTTTATCTCCAAGGGCTGCTGCAGTCCATGAAGCTGAGCACATGTTTGACTTCCTTGCAGAATGAGGGCCTTCTTGGCGGGTCAAAATCAGTCAGGGTCAGTGCTGCCAACCTGCTGCCAGTCGTATTGCATCTGCGACACACCTGCACAACAAGACTGACATGGAAGGTTTGCTTTGTGCTCAAGGAGTGGCTCTACAACCTGTGACAATGGCTGTGCAGACCATGGAGAGTTGCTCTTCAAAAGCTCACGGGTACAACCTCTTGCAGCTACGGTACCCAGTGCTACGGGATTATTTTTTGCAGCTCTGAATGCCATAGTATGTTTCTTATGAGCTGGGCTCAGGTGATGATGCCCCGTGAAGGGCATACATCCCCTAGGAGAATACACTCAATGGTAAGGTGACATTACTCCAGCCAAGGTCTGATTTGGTTTGCAATAGTGAATGCCTAACTTTGCACAGAGGGAGAGGAGCTACAGCAAAACCTGTTGTGGTCCCAGTTCTCACGTTACCCTTACTCTTTCTCACCGCAGGTTACATCCAAGCCTGCAGAGGACTGATGATCTCTGCTGTCTGCCTGGGCTTCTTCGGTGCCGTTTTTGGACTGGTTGGGATGAAGTGTACAAAAGTTGGAGGCTCCGATCAGACAAAAGCAAAAATAGCTTGTTTAGCTGGACTGATTTTCATACTTTCTGGTAAATATATCTTATTTCTCTAAGTCTGCGTATTTGAAGTCATACCAGAGCTGCTTCTTTTCCTCAGAAGTCTGCACACAATTCTCCATGACTGCATTGGCTTCAGGGTCAGGCCCAAAGCTCTTCTGCTGGCTCCACTGAATGGTTTGTCTTATGCTTTTCAGGGTTGTGCTCTATGACTAGTTGTTCCCTGTATGCAAACAGGATTACGTCTGAGTTCTTTGATCCTTCTTTTGTTGCACAAAAGTAAGTACTTTCCTATACCCATAAATCTCTCAAAGAAGTAGACCTTAAGTTTCATACTGTGCAGCAGAGGCCATTTAGACAGAGAGCAGATGCTTCTCCTGTTGGGCAGAGAAAGAGAGTGGGCTGCAGTTTTATTTAATCATATTTTACAACTGGGGTAACCGTGTGCTGAAATTTAATGAACGAACACCTCCTCATACAGTGATTGCTCTGTAATCTTTGTGCCCAGGCTTATCGCGGCTCGGCAGGGTTCTCCTCTGCCTGCCACAGAGCAAATGGGATTAATCAGGAGTGAAGCTTGTGTTTCTATCAGAGATGCAGCAAAAGGGTTTCACAAGACAGAGGCACTCATTAGGCACATCGTTCAATACGAAAGGAACAAAATCATTTCCTTAAGCTTTTGATAGAAGATGGTTTCCATAAAGGTGTCGAGCACTGCACAGTCTTGACTCCTCTTGAGGACAGATTTCTGCAGGCTCTGTGGACGTTTTGCTGACAGATTTTCAAATCCAGATTTGAAATTTGGATCATAAACCTTATCATAACCCATGATGACACACACACTAGGATAAATGCTTTGACTGTACATGTAATTTAATTTAAGGGAACGAGTGTTTATAGAATTGCAGGATCCATGCAAGAAATAATGAGCATCCCTAAATACTCCCTTTAAAGCTGTGCAAGTTCTCAGGACCTACAAAAGCAACAATTCATGAACCAGTGCTTGGAATCTGGTTTCACATCTTATCTACCAAGTCTGAAAACATTGGCTCTAAATTATACCAATTAAACTTTCTTGTTTTAGCTTCTTAAGTAATGTAAAGTTATCTTCAAAGACAAGGATTTCAAAGTTTTCTTGGTGGTATTTCCAGAATATGTTAACCATTAGGTATAAATTTCCCTGAGACCCAAGTAAGGTCTCTGTAAGGAACCCTGACCTTCTCTGTTTCTTCTTGATAGAAAGAAAATAGTTTGAATAAATGACATTAACTGGATCCATGTTCATGGCAGGGCTGACACTGCTTCTTGAGAACAAGTTCATATCAGTTTCCTCCATAATTCTGCTATAGGTTTTGCTTGTTTGATATGGTGAGGACAGGATCCAGGGGCCTCCAAAAGAAACAAGAATGTGAGGTACTGTGAAGAAAATGGAGTCTGGCTATATAGCCAGAAGTTAATTATTCATCAGGCTTACTGTTCCTAGTGAAAAATACCATGGTTGTTGCCAGAAGTCCCTTCCTACATTATACTCCTGTGCTGTTCTGCTGTAAAAGACCAGGCAGACCCCACAGCAGAGTTTTACTGTGAGCAAATAAGAAGTCTGGTTTAAATATTGAAATAAAGATAGTAAAACATCCTCTGCAGAAAGTACCTTTTTCCTGAGCAACCAGCGTAGCTCAACTGTGTGCACACATAATCGCGACAACAGAGATAAAGGCAGAGAGGAAAGCCAGAAGTTGTAATCTGAGTTGCGCACGGTGTAGCTCATGCAATCACCTTGTGTCAGATTAAGCTAATGGTGGCATTCAACTCCTTTCTCTCCCAACCAATGTAAAATATGTTGGAGTAATGTGTTTTGTTGCCTTCTCTGAACTCTTTGATATGCCTTGCAGAAGCATTTAATATGCTTTGCAGGTATGTTGTGGAAATTTGGCATTCGCTCTTCTCTTCTCTCTTCGCTGCTTTGGGTTTCAACCTTTCACCTTTTGCCACACATTTCTCTCCTAGAGTCATTCTAGTGGTGTCAAAGACAGGCTTGAGATACTGTCAATGGAAAATGAATGACAGGAGATGTTTAGCAACATCTGTGCAATTGGAATTTTCCTCCAGCCTTCTGCATTTGGAAGAGGCACCTTGAATATATATGGATGCAGGATGACTCAGAGACCTGCCTGAAGCTGTTGCTCAAGAGACTTCTGGTTTTAATTTTTGTCCCTGAGGAATGATGGGCACCATGGGGACACCCTAAAACCCACCTTACTTAGAAAGAAATCTTGTCAAGAGACTTCTGGTTTTAATTTTTGTCCCTAACTGAGGAACGATGGACACCATGGGGACACCCTAAAACTCACCTTACTTAGAAAGAAATCTTAGGCTGGACTTCACATCCGATGTGATAGTTTGCATTGCCAGTTTAAAACAGTTCTGAAGGAATTGCTTAACCCTATGTAATAACACGCACAGAGTCTTGAGGACAGCACGGGATGCTTTGGTGCTTGCCATCAAGGTGGATTTTACTTTTCTTCAGATACTTCTAATAGGAGAAAATCTGTGCTTCTGTTTTGCTATCTTGCTAACATTGTTTCCACAGCTTCTCTTAGGAATCTATTTTGTCACTTTACAACTTTTAATAAAACTCTTACAGTCTTTATCCTTTTTGTCCCTTGCCACAGTTTGAAACTCTGTAATCATGGTCATTCTTACTGATGAATGGTGTTAGTTTATCCAGATTATCTGACTGGTTTCCCATTCTTTTTTATAGCGAATTGTTTCCTTTCAGCCTTCTTTTCTCTGAATTGATCATGCACAGTTCACACAGGCCCTCTTTCCACTGTCCCATTGTTACATTTGAATCTATTTTTCATTTTCCAAGAGTTGTAAGAATTAGATGTTCAAAATGTGTCTTTCCCTTGGGTAGTTGTGCTGATTTGATAGGTAGTTAGGTATGTCCTTTACATATGCTGACATCCAGTCGGCTAATGAAGCTTCCAATGGTTTTTTTGGAAGTTTACTTCATGATCCTAATGTATGTAATAACTAGAATATTTTTCTTCTATACTGATATTATACTTTCTTTCTTTCTCTGAGTTCTGCTTCCCTGGATAACAGCAAAAAATCTGCTTTTAGCCTGCTTGGCCAGTGTAGTTGAAGGTGACTTTCAGCTCCCTGCAGTTGAATTCTCATAGTCCTCAGTGGACATCACTTCTAAGCCTCTTCATCAGTGTCCCACCCCAGGCTGAGCTGCCAGTGATCTCTAATCAGGTTGATTTCACTGATTGGAGACAGTAGATACACAGCCAGAGATTTCAGAGAGTGGCTGCTTTGGTTCTTGCAGCCAAGAATTATAAGAGCAGAAGAGTGTGCTTCCTGCAAAGATTTTAATGATAGAGAGGGAAAGGAAAACCAACAAGTGTAGAAATTTCTTCTAAAAAAGCCTATCTAATTTTTTCCCCCTGTTTTTCTGGAGGCACTAATGTACGTAAGGGTTTTTTCACATGGTAAGGTTTTTCTTACATACTGGATTTTGATGGGTGGTTATGGTTGGCTTCTTACATGCTAAAAAGATGGATTGGATAAGATCCAGGGAGCCATAACACAGGTTGATATGCAATTGAAAATTTGAAATTTTCCTCATAAACACCAAGGTAAATCAAAAAGTCTTTTATCTGTTTAAAGATGTGGAGGAAAGACCCCTTAGGCCAGCCCTGCAACTCATTGTGTGGCAGTCACCTGAGAGGGGTCCATATATACAATCTGCTTGAGCATGTTATAGTAATAAATGTTGTTTAAAAAATACAGCCAATCCCAAGAACAAGAGCTGGACCCCATGTCTTCTTTCCCAACTAGTAGGCAACAGCCAGGTAACCCTTTTCTATCCAATTAAACCTAATGTAATCTTGATTTCTTTTCTGTACAACTGAAGAGCTTCAGGAGGGGAGATGGCAGTTGGTCTCTTTATGTCTCTCACATTAGCCTCTGGCCAACCATTTAATGTTGTTAGGTGGAAATGTGGAAATGAACTTGTCTCTCACTTTCTAGGCAAGTGGTCTTGGCAAGTAAGTTGTTGCAGCAACAGCCTTCCTAGGTCTTGGTCCTGCTGTGTTCTCCAGCACTATGGTGGTCCGTGCTGACTTTTGTGGGGAGCCTAAACCTGGTCTCTGTACCTCAGGTGTGCTCTGGCAGTACCTGCAGGGATGGAGGGATCCCCTAGGATACCTCGCACTGGAGTTAGTCACTGTGATCTGCTTTTACAGCTCATTAAAAGAGGTGCCTTGAGGGTGTGATTCATATTTTAGAAGTGTACTTTGTGTGTATTTCTTGAGTGTTGACTATAATGGGGTCCTAGGTGATGAGTTCTGATGTGGAAATCGGCTTCTAATCAGAGAACCCCCAGTCCTTGAACAGAGAGAAATCTGCTCAACTCTTGTGAAAACTGTAGCACATGGTTGGAAGCATGAGAATAGTTAGAATTAAAGCTTTACATGCTTGGCAGATTTTAAAGTCAAACGGGGTTTAGTGCAGAGTTTTCCAGGGTGAAAAGAGCAGCAACTGAGCTCTGGTTTCCAGCAGTTTAATGTGAGGATTGGGTGCCTAAGTCCCACATTGGGTATGGAGAAGGTTTGGGGGAATCTGACCCTTTTTTTTAGCAAGGGATGATAAATAAAAACTCTGCTTAGGATGATGTGAACAGAAAATGAAAAAGAAGCCTACAAGTTAGAGCCCTAGCAGGGCCATGAAGAGTCAGGTGTGGTCTCACAAAGTGTCCTGCCTCTGAGCTGTAATGGCTCCATCTCTTTCTGGCATTAAGTTCTCAAGCCAGGAATGACAAACCTTGGTGTCCATAGCATCTAGCACTGACACTGATATCCCAAGTGTGTTTTTTTCTCCCTGGATGACTTTTTTAAAAAAAAGTCTGTGCTTTACCTCTAGGTGGAATCTCAAGAAAACATGGAAAAGCAATTTTTTGTCTCCAGTCAGTGTTTACCCCCTTGTGACCTATTATAGAAGCTTGCTAGATCATTTTCTGGCTGTCCGAGCTCACTGGCAATCTTTGAGTGTTTCCACAGTGTCATCTTTGTAAAGACGAGTTTTATAGACCAGTTTACAGGTGTTTCCAGTTATGTATTTCAGCTAATGTTAAATCAGGATCTGATGACATGGAATCAACTGCACAGTCTTTCAGCTGCACAGGCAGGCTGTCAAGCAGAGGCTTTCACTTGGCTGACACCAGAGCTGACAATAAATGAACAAACTTACTAACAAAGGCTTGAACAGCACAGCTACCTGACAGATGGGGGACAGGGACCTGTCTTTTCAACACAGGATCCTAGTAGTCAGAAGGAGAGAAATGTTTCCTCAAGGAGGAGCTGGAGAAGAGAAGAAGTAGCAGAAGACACTGTCCTAATAGTAAGGAGTATGAGACTCTTGAGACTGTTGGGCTTGCAGTCTAATGCAGGTCATCCTGGAAGTGTTGTGAAGAGTGGCACCTCAGGCAAAGAGCTGGAGAATGGAGCAGACAAGTGGCAGCCATGGCTTATTGCTCGTCTTGAAACTCCAGAGACCAGGTTATGGGCGCTGAGCTCCAGCAGGCAGAGGAAAAGAATGTCTTCCTCACGCCCTTCTTTTCCTTCATTTACTGCTGTTCCTTTAGAAACCTGGACTTATCCTTGTGTTATAACGCTGCTAAAGCACCACCGTCTCCTCTTGGAGTCAAACTGAGCAGTTTCTGGCTGCAAACAAATGGTGGCTGCCCTGGGTGGCTATTGTTGGTGACCTGAAGCTGTGCCCCAGGGCTCAGAGGGAAATGGTGTCTTCCAGCCTGAATCCAGACACAGGGACTAAAGAAGCAGAAAGTTTCTGGCATGTGCACGTGTACACACATGCAAAGCTTCATATGCATGCACGTATGTGCACGTCTGTATATGCATGTGCTTATATCAGATACAGGATCATGGAGTCACAGAATCGCCTCAGTTGGAAAAGACCTTTAAGATCATCAAGTCCAATTATGAACCAACACTGACAAGTCCCTGACTAAACCATGTCCCTCAACACTATGTCTACAGCACATCTCTTAAATCCCTCCAGGGATGGGGACTCCTCCACTGCCCTGGGCAACCCATTCCAATGCCTGAGAACCCTTTCAGTAAATAAATTCTTCCTCATATCCAATTTAAACCTCCCTTGGTGCAACTTGAGGCCATTTCCTCTTGTCCTGTCACTTGTTACTTGGTTGAACAGATCAACCCCCACCTCTCTACGCCCTCCTTTCAGGTAGTTGTGGAGAGCGATAAGGTCTCTGTATATGCATACACTGAGCATGTGTGTGCATGCATATTGCATAGGCATATTATATATATGTATAAAAACCTCATTTTTTGGATAGGAAGGGAGAGAGAGCCTGAGAGCTAGAGGGGAGAGTTATAGGTAGCAGCTCTAGTCACCGTCTCAGTGAAAGCCCCAGTCCAGCTTGAGAGCCAGCAGGAGCAAACCTAAAATGGTCCAAGGGGACAGGAGCTGTGCACTGTAAATGGATGAAAGAATCATGTAACCCCACAGCCAAGCAATCCCAGAGGAGATGTGGAAAAGCCAGGCATCCGGCTGGCTGCGGGGGGGATGAGCATTTCCCAAAGTGTACTGCAGGGATGGAGTTTGCCTGCTGAGTAAGAGGGAAATAATGGAAAGACCATGGGTGAGCGGCAGAGCTGCTGATTTTGCGATGAATGACATGCATGTCAATGAAAAGGTATTCAGGGGGAAAAAAATAGTTAATTTATTTGGAAAAACTGTTAAACTTATGTTCTCTTTTGTTAAACCCATTTGTTAACTTCCTGTAGGTATGAATTAGGAGCAGCTTTGTTCATTGGATGGGCTGGAGCTTCACTCTGCATAATTGGTGGCAGTATATTCTGCTTCTCAATAGCTGAAAACAGTAATTCTCCAAGGTAAAACACAAGTTGTATTTATTGAAAGAAATCAATGCGAGCACATTTGTACCCACTATATGTATGTGGCTTGATTACTTTTCCAAAAGACTTTGTAGTGAGGTTCAGAAAAGGATTGTGTGAATGAAAGAAAATAATGGGATTTAAAGGTAATGCTCTGTCCATCATTAATGTAATTAAGAAAAGCTTAAGACTCAGAACAAATACTTGCATTATATATACTTGATAAATTTACTACAGCTGGGAAAAAAAAATGCATTCATTGAGGTAGGATAAGTGGTCAGGTCACCTTACAGATGCAAATAGACGAGCTTAGAATCATAGAATCACAGAATGATTTGGGTTGGAAGGGACCTTAAAGATCATCTAGTTCCAACCCCACTGCTGTGGACAGGGTTGCCAACCACTTGATCAGGCTGCCCGGGGCCTTATCCAACCTTGAATGCCTCCAGGGAGGGGGCATCCATAACTTCTCTGGGCAACCTGTGCCAGTGTCTCACCACCCTCTGGGTGAAAAAATTCCTCCTAATGTCTAACCTGAATCTCCCCCTCTTAGTTCAAAACCATTTCCCCTTGTCCTATCACTACCTGCACATGTAAAAAGTCACTCTCCCTCCTGTTCATAAGCTCCCTTCAAGTACTGGAAGGCCACAATGAGATCTCCCAAGCTTATTTAATCACAAATCATCAGCTCAAAAGAGAGAGAGGTAAAGGAGAGCAGTGGTGGCAGTGGGACCTCCGGCAGCAGAAGAGGGGCAGTAATGAAGAGGCGCAGCTGGAGGGAGTAACTGTTCACCTGGGATCTGCCACAGCCTCAGTATTTCATGATGGGGCCCCAATTTGCTTGGCTATGAACGAGGGATATGAGTTTCTGCAGAAGTGAATTGCAAAGAGAGATTCCAGAGGGGAAATGTCAAACCAGAATGAGACCACAGAGGCAAGGAAGGTGTGTCCCCCACCCCACTTCCTATATGTCCTATATGTCCCTATACATTGCTTCTAGTTTTCTATTGCTGTAATGCTTGGATACAGAGCTGTTAGCTGTCTGTGGGATGAGCTGTAAATGGTTGATTCTCTTCTCTTTTCAGGAGGGGGTATGCATATAATGGAGCCACATCTGTGATGTCTGCTCGTACAAAGGTCCACAACAGTGTCCAAGACAAAACCCCACCAAAGCACTTTGACAAGAATGCTTATGTTTAATTGTACTGTTGGAAGATGCAAAGTGTTTGAAAAATGAGTTTGTATGTTTCATGTAGAGTGATTTCCCCCCCTCCAACCCCAATGTAATTACCACTAAGACAATGACTTTTTAAAACATTAACTTGCAGCTTTTTACATATTGATGTAAATTTTATTATATAGTATTTTAAGATGTTGGTATTGTGAAGTTTGAACCTGGAAATCATGAGCTGATGTTGCTTTCTTGAAAAAAAATAAACGGGGTATTTACCAACTCAGTATGTCGATTGCTTATGGGAATGAGCTCACACACGTCCCACTGACTGCGGTGCATCATTGCAACCGTTTCTGAAATGGGATCAGTACTGGACAAAACAGCCATGCTCTGTGCAGGGCACTGTGTGAAATGTCTCACCACCGATTAGCAGTGACACTGGAATTGCAGAGCACATTGTACCTGCAGCGCCAGACGACGGCAGTCAGTGGGAATCGGCAGGCTCTTACCTCCTTATCCCATTGCCGGGTGGATGAACGTGCAGCTTGGTCAGTTCAGTGCTGCAGGAATAAGAAGAGACTGGGTGAAGTGAAAGTAAGGACGGGATCTGGGGAGGCAGGAGCAGCACAGACTAATCAGGTACTAAGGAGAGTCAGGGCCAGTTGTTAACGAAGTCACTAGAGAGGGTCTGTCCTGGCGTAAGAATGCCTGAATGATGGTGAGCACTTCCATGCACGACAGGGAGAGAAACGGTTGAGGCTGCAGCCTGTGGGGAGTCTGTGGTGGGCAAGACAAGGAAGGCCTGGAGCCAGTTTCTACCTTCTGCGTTTGCTTTGTGCTGCTGGGCTCCTGCCTGGCCGCAGCACTCGCCCCTGCCACTGACGGGTCATGTCCCGGGCATCGCTTTCGTTCCCTTGCACTGGGCAGGATGTTGGGACACCTTTGGCTACAGAATGGCTCCAAGCCACTGGGCTATGAAAGGGAAGGAAGAAGCCCAGGTGATAGCAGCTGGCCTGCTCTGCCAATGACATTCCCAAAGGGCTGACCAAATAGAAGCGGGCAACACTTCACAGCAGTTTTTAGGCAATCCCAGATTAGTTACAACGGGTCAAAAATTCAGCTACTGCTTGCTTTTGTTTGGTTTTTTCCCCCTAACCTGTCCATAGAAATGCAATGGCTTTTGAGGAAATATTTGTACAATGATTCAATAAATGAGATTAGAGATTATGAATAACCACAAAACACTCTAGACTGAGACCCTAAAATTAGACACAGACTCGGGTCTGTCTTGAGGTTTGAACTGATGGAACCTTGGAGTTTCATTTTGGAACAAGGGTGTAAATATAAAAAATGAATAGTCCTATTTATTAATGGCACAGTATAATAGAAAAGCTTTTGTACGTGATACCATCTAAAATCCATCAGAACTACAAAGCCATTCAAGGTTCTTTTTATTTCACCTTATTTTTGCGTTTCACTTCTATCAAAAAAACATTCTGTCTTTTTAAGAAGACAGCCAATACAGACAAAACAGAAATATGAAAGTACTTGCACAATGGCAGGTCAGCACTTTTCCTCACCTTAGCTTGACATTTGAAATTTTTTTCCAATTTTTGAGCTTTTATGTTATGTTTTAAGATTCAAACCTAATTAAAAAAAAACCTTCTGAAAATAGGAGGCATTTAATAATAAATAGTTTTATAGCTGAGGCATTTTTTTTTTAATCTGGTGTTTATTGTAAACCATGTTAGAAACTTAACATTTTAATACATGGAAATATTTTATTTAAAATGTTCACAATTTTATATAAAATTTATGATAAAATACAAGAAAATGTGCGTTTAAAAATTTTATAAAGTAATACTCTGGAGTAAAATCTGTTCACTGGTTAACAGACTTTCTTGCAAGACCAGTTTCAATCTTTAATGTAAACATTAGAGGCAAAAACTGCACCTCAGTGAAATCAAAGAGACCTTCACACTGAGTTCACGAGAAAGAAGCATTAACTCAATTTCCAAACAGACATGGCCGGTACCGTGCACATGAACGTTCTTGTTTCAAATTCAGGACTGAAAGACAAGAGCTTTGTAAACAGTACTCCTTGTTATTGCATGACCAAGATGAGGAATGAGTAGGAAACACTTTATGTGGTCAACGATATTTTCAATCCCAACAGAACCCAAAAGTGGTGCCTCCCATCAGGAATGCAGCAGTTAAATATCTGAAGAATCACTCCAATCTGTTACAGTGACTAAGCTGCTTTTTAACGTGCTTGTGTTATCAGCTTCATGAAGGCCTGTTAAAATAACAAAAAAATATTAAAAATTACTAATAATATTTTGAGGGTATTTTTGCTTTGTATGTATCTATGAGATAAAATCACACACTATGTGAGCAAACCCCTGTGGACTTCAGGAAGTCCAGAATTTCAGCTGGTGAGGAAATTAAAAGTGTTGATAGTATGAAGGCTGTTTCTGTCACAGAATACAAATGCACAGTACAGGCAGTCAGAAGCAACATCACTTTCCCGTTAACAATAACCTGAAGTATCTTTATGTAACTCACACAGCTTTAACCTTTAAGTATGTTTAAATGTTAGGTCTAGAAACTACTGTGTAAGTTCTATGCAAGACTGAAGCTATTACTTTACTAGTAGCTCAAATACTTATCTAAACCTGGTAGGTCACTTAGATTCTCAAACAAACCCAAAATTTGATTATTATTCTCAAGACAAAGTAAGAAAATTTCCCTCCTCCCTTAAATCTGGGAAGGGCTTAAAAAAAAATCCTGGATAATTAATTTTTAAGACAAGGTTGAAGCCTGACAGTACTATATGCTTTAAAATCTCAAATTTAAGTTTCTCTTACTTGTTCTTTTCTTATAAAATACCATATATTGAATTACAACGTGTAATTAGTTGTATAGTCAAGTTCTTCTCCAGGTGTGTCAGGCACTTGAGGCTTATAATGCAGAAATATGAATACGTTACCTTCCTCCTTTGGTACACTTTTCTTTGGAAGACCCCATGCATGTACCACAGATGCAGCATTTGACTCATTTTTCTGAACTGTCAATGCCTTCTGGCCTCTATCATCTTTCATTAATAAAAAGTCTTCTTCTACTGATGATATATCCCAGTCATCTTCATCAACTTCTGCGAACTAATAGGGAGAAGAAAAAACATGCATTTTCCCTCTGTCCATTCAAGTTGTGCTGAGATCTTCCACAAGTGCAATAATGTGAAACTGCTGAAGAAAAAAATGCACTGGCATCTACCACCACTGTTTTAAAATTCAATTCGATTCAATTACCTAAATTATACTAACTCACTATTATAGTTCTAAAGCTAAAAATGGTGGGGTTTTTTTTAAGTCAGGAACTATAAAAATTAAAAGTTCTGCCAGTTTCATAACTGTCAGTTTCATAACTGGCAGAAACCTGTGTTTTCAAGTATTACATGTCTAACTTAAAAAGGATCATCCTTTCTGGGATATCAGCTATCCCAATGAGATGGAAAGTCCTTTAAGCATTAGAATGTGTATTACTTACATGAAAATAAAGACATGACAAGTTATCATGCAAGCTGGCAGTTTAGTTTGCTAGATAAGCATTCTGTATTCACACTAGAAAAAAATTTATATTGCAATAAAGGCCTTTTGAATTTAAAACTAATTTATTTAAAATTAAAATTAAATAATGAAAGTTAAAAAACCCACATGGTACTCAAAGTTGAAAGTATTCCTCTTAGGACTCACTGTCAGCAAGTACAAGTATATTTTGATATGTACATGGTGGATTTGCATAATGAGTTCCCAAAATGAGAGTCAAGTCAAACAGATGAACCTGAAGACAGCGAGTCCATGGTCTTTCTTAGCTCATCTGCCTGAGAACTAAGTGTCTTCATCCAGATTTGGAAGAAGATCTACAGCATTTCCCTATTTGTCAGTCAGATCTGGTTCAATGGAATCGAGCCGTTACTGGAGAACTTAACTGCACAAAGCAAAGAGGGCTTCTCACAAAGCTAAAACCTTGCTTCACAGCAGTGTCCCACTATTACAGTAAGACAGAGACTGTGCTTCTGTTGCACAGAAGAAAGATTCAGATGCTGTTAGAAAACAATGTAAGGTATGTCCACACTAGAGAAAAATCAACAACTATGAACCTGCCGTGTGTCTCGGAAGAAGGGAAGAGGCTGCAGTAACGCTCTGGCTTGCAACATCATTCAATTTTAACATTGCAAACTGTTTTTCAAAAACTGACAGATCTGCTCAGTGTGCTGTATTATTAACATACCAGGTTTCAACATTTTGCTGTTTTAAATTATCCACATTTGGAGGGTGTAGTAATGGGAAAGTCAGAGTCACATATTGAGAAATGCTGGAGGAAGAGTTTTCCTCAGTCACTAAGTCTCAACTGATTTTTAAAGTACAAAATGAAGAGAAAAATGTCAACTTCAAACAGAATTCAATTTTGGTCAAGTGTAAATGCACAGCACCCATCAAAACTGCTCTGCAGTTTTATTAACTCAAAGACTTACTCCAAAGAAATACCATAACCCATACAATGTCTGGTGCAGGTGAACTCAGGTAATACAGCTGCAGGTAAGCACAAAATTAATTTTCACTAAGATGTTTCTGAAGTAACTTCTGTGAGACACAACCTTTATAAAACATATGGCAATGGGATGCATTATAAAGGTTTGATGGGACTGTGGGTTTTGAGAACGACCATTAGCAGCTACAGGTATTTAAGGCAATAAAAAAATTTGGATTTTCAGAGAAAACATCATTGCAATGGCACTTTGTGCTTATGTCTTTGGGTACCTTTGAAAATGCCACATAGAATTTAAAGAATTAACCTGAACTATATGTCTACATTTAAACATACAAATATGGACATGAATATATGCACATTCATATATAATTAGCAATGAATACAAGATGGTGTGTTGTTCTGTAAAGATTACAGAAACAGAGGAGCAACACCTGCCCTGGCTTCATAAACTCACTTCCAACTCATCACGTCCATGCAGCAACACGTCACTGTGTTAATACATCAGGGACACCGCGTATTCTAAATGAATTACAGCAAAAATATTGTTCATGGAATGGTTTGGCTTGGAAAGGAGCTTTAGAAATCATCTAGTCCAACCCCACTGCCATGGGCAGGGACATCTTTCACTAGACCAGGTTGCTCAAAGCCCTGTCGAACTTGACCTTGAACACTTCCAGGGAGGGGGCATCCACAGCTTCCTTGGGCAACCTGTGCCAGTGTCTGACCACCCTCACCTCCTTATATCCAATCTAAATCTACCCTCAGTTGAAAACCATTGCCCCTTGTCCTGTCACTGAAGGCCTTGGTAACAAGTCTGTCTTTCTTATAAGCCACCTTTGTATTTTGAAAGGCTGCAATCAGGTCTCTCTGGAGCCTTCTCTTCTCCAGGCTGAACAGCCCCAACTCTCTCAGTCTGTCCTTGTAGGAGAGGTGCTCCAGCCCTCGGATCATCCTCGTGACCTCCTCTGGACTCACTCCAGTAGGTCCATGTCCTTCTTGTGTTGGGGGCCCCAGAACTGGACACAGTACTCCAGGTGGAGTCTCACAAGAGCGGAGTAGATGGGCAGTATCACCTCCCTCAACCTGCTGGGCACACTTCTTTTTATGCAGCCCAGGATGTGATCGTCTTTCTGGGCTGCAAGCGCACATTGCCGGCTTATGTCCAATTTTTCATCCACCAGAACCCCCAAGGCCTTCTCCACAGGGATGCTCTCAATGCATTAACGCCCCAGTCTGTATTGATATTGGCAATTACCCCAACCCAGGTTCAGGACCTTGCACTTGGCTTTGTTGAACTTCATGAGGTTCACCTGGGCACACTCTTCAAGCCTGTCAAGGTTCCTCTGGATGGCATCCCTTCCCTCAGATGTGCCAACTGTACCACTCAGCTTGGTGTCATCTGCAAAACTGCTGAGGGTGCACTCAATCCCACTATGTCATTAATAAAAATATTGAACAGTACTGGTCCTAATACAGACCCTTGAGGAACACCACTCTTTACCGGTTTCCACTTGGAATTGAGCCGTTGAGCATAACTTCTTGGACATGGCATCCATCTAGTTCCTTACCCATCTAACAGTCCATCAGTCAAACCCATATGTCTCCAATTTAGAGGTTAGAATGTTGTGGGGGACAGTATCAAATGCCTTACAGAGTCCAGGTAGCTGACATCTGTAGCTCTTCCCTTGTCCACTGATGCAGTCACTCCATCGTAGAAGGCCACCAGACTAGTCAGGCATGATTTGCCTTGGTGAAGCCATGTTGTCTGTTTCTAATCACCTCCCTGTCTTCTATATGTTTTGACAACAGATCCAGGAGGATCTGTTCCACAATCCTCCCAGGCACAGAGGGGAGGCTGACTGGTTGGTAGTTCCCAAGGTCCTCCTTTTTACCATTTTTAACTTTGCCTGACTGCCACGACTTTTCAAATACAATGGAGAGTGGCTTGGCTACTACATCAGCCAATTTCCTTAGGACCCTGGGCAGCATCTCATCAGTTCCCATGGACTTAGGTATATTCAGGGTCTTCTGGTGGTCTTGAACCTGATCTTCTCCTACAATGGGAGGGAATTCATTCCCTCAGTCCCTGCCTTGAAGTTCAGAGGCTTGAGAGATGCAGGAAGAGAGGTTACCAGTGAACACTTAGGTATCTTTAAAACACAGATTTTAAGGCTTATTTTGCTACAGCTTTTTGCTCTTGAAGCTGAAATTACCTAACACAGTGGACAACCATCTGTAGATCTTTACAAAATGTAACTTCCCCTCAATTTAACTGTGAACATTTTACTGTCTTGTATTATCTGACATTGCAGAGAATTTGAAAGTAACATTTGGACAGAAAATTACACTGGAATAGTCATGTCTGAGTTGATAATTTTGAGAGTGGTTCGATTTGCAGTTCCACACAGTCAGTGGACAAGTTAGGTGTCATGAGTGGCAATTAAAACCACACAGGCTAAATGTGGTGGCTTTAATTGCCTACCATTGCCTAACCTACCATTACAGCTGAAGTTGACTAAGATAATCACCCCTTTCTGGAAAGTGAAACAGAAGTGTCACTGTTTCTGGGAGGAGTAATAAATTTCAGATTTAACTGTTAAGTCAGGAAGCCCTAAGGTATCAGTTTTATTATGGATAACAGGATTTTCAGTAATTATTATTTGTTTATTTAGTGAAAAAATGTTCTCTTGAATGCTAGCACTAGTATCTGGCTATCTACTTCAATCTAATAACAACTACTAAAACTGAAAGAATCAGCACTATTTGCTGTTGACTTCCGATTTGTGGTAATTTTTCTTCTTTTTAAAAAACTGTTCAGGCAAAGCTCAATTTGCATGAAAGTGTTTTACCAATTATAGAACTCTAAACTGAGGGGAAGACTGAAACCTTAGGAGCCTGAGGGGTAAAGAATAAGTGGTATTAGTATTCTGATTGTGAACACGTGCCATATTCAATGTACAGACATCAGTGATGTATCTGAGGTAGTCTGAAAACAGTATATGTTGTAAGTAGATGCAGCAGAACAAAGACCATACTCAGAAACTGAATTTTTCCTGTCATTAAAATGTTTTTAAAAGTTCCATATCAGATAAAGCTCTAGAAATAAAAATATTTTAAAATATTAGATAAGCAAATTCATTTTTTCCTCCATCAAAACAAGATACTTGGAAACAAGATACTACAGAAGGGCTCTCTCTATGCTGCTAGAATAGGAGATATAAATGATACCAATTGTGCCCAAACTTCAGGCTATCTGTAGTGATCCAATACAGTCATGGTATAAGCTAATAAGTAGTGTGGATGAAGAAATCATTTGCCATAACTCCCTCACTAGCAATTTTTCTATATACCAGTGCAGCTGTACCCAAAAAGACTATTTTGCTGCAATTCCAAAACTGTCTTTGAGAATTAAGCTCTTCACTCACTGCATCGAGATGGTTTCAGCATGAAAAAAAAAAAAGTGATAGAAACATATCTAGTTCAATTACTTAATGAAATAATAATGGCTATTAAAAGTGATACCTTCAGTTCTTGCACCTCTTCTTTCTTAATAAACGCCTGTGCGACATTAATCCCTCCAGCGGGTTTGTTCTTATTTCCATGGTTAGAAAGACTTTTTCCAACTTGCTCAGTGAGTTTTTGAATAACTGTTCCTAAAGTTAATAAAATATTTATATTGACAATTTTCATTCACAAGAAACTTTACTGTAAAACCTCTAGAAATCTTCCAAACAGTAAAAATAGCTAAAAGAAGACTCTGAGGCAGAGACTGTCTCTTTTTCTGCATTTATATAAAACAGCATAATACACATTTAAGTGTTATTAATTTAACTGACATATCTAAGCACTATATTAATATAAACATATTAGCAAAAACATAAACTACACACAAAAATACATACACTCAAGACTCGACAATCTGCCTTCATCATGTTTTCTAACATAGAAATATTACCAGGAAATACAAAATCGTGCACAGCTGTTACAACATGCATGTACAAAAGTAGTGAAAAAACCTTTTGAAGTTTTGGTAAGTGTTCCTTTTTCTTCAGTTTCACTTTCCTCCATCCCATCTATATCACTTTTGCCAGAAGCCTTCTGAAAAGCACTGACTGTGCTGCTTGATGTTTTTGCCTGTTTTTGCAATGATTTTGGTGATACGTAAGACTGTTTGAGATCATCTTCATCTGCTTCTTCCTCTGAACTGAATGGTGGAGTTCTAAGCAAAAACACATACAACCTGAGGACTTACTGGGTGCATTGGTATACACATATTTAAGCTTCCTTGTATTTTCCTTTCCAACAACATGTGTTTTTTTCTTACATGAAAAAACAGGAGCTCCCATAAATTCTAACTATCCATGCAACTATTTAAAAGAAATCATAGAATCTTAGAATGGTTTGGATTGTAAGGGACCTTAAAGATCATCTAGTTCCAACCCCCCTGCCATCAGCAGGGACACCTTCCACTAGACCAGGTTGCTCAGAGCCTCATCCAGCCTGGCCTTAAACACTTCCAGGGAGGGGGCATCCACAACTTCCTTGGGCAACCTGTTCCAGTGTCTCACCACCCTCACAGTGAAGAATTTCTTCCTAATACCTAATCTAAACCTATCCTCTTCCAGCTTAAACCCATTTCTCCTTGTTTTGTCATTAACTGCCCTTATGAAAAGTCCTTCCCCAGCTTTCCTGTAGGCCCCCTTCAGGTATTGGAAGGCCGCTATAAGATCTCCCCGGAATCTCTCATGCTGCTAAGTAAACTCAGAAAGTTTTCACAAAATGATCTCTCGCATAGACATGATTATTTCCATCTATGCAACTATCTTTACAAAACAACAGACCAACATATATCAAGTCTTGCCAGGCACACAAAGACAGGCTTTCAAGGATCAGCAGGGAGAGCAAAGTTCAGTCAAGGAATCTGCACCACAGATAGCCTGTTCTGATATTCTGTTAGATTAAAATAATTTAGGAATTTTTCAGTGCAGGTTATTACCTGATGTGAGTGGAAACTGGAATATTGTGTTTAATCTTGGTCATAGTAAGAAAATACCAATAAACTGAAAAAATTAGGTCACCAAAGTCTTTAAATGCTTTTAACTGGCTCATAAAAAGCACCTAAGAATGAAACTAAAGGAAGTGCTACTACCTGATTTTGTTGAATGGCCCTCTCTAGTTCACAATAAAGAATACATCTGCTGAAAGGAGAATGCACTATCTTTCATGGATTATAATAACAGACTCAAGCATGTGAATATTCAGTCATCAACAATGTTTTCTTTAAAAATACAAGGGAAAAAAACATACGTGATGCTAGGTGTCTTTCTGGAAACTCCATTTCCAAAAAGCTTCCTGGATCTAAAAATAACATGACAAGTTATTCCTAGACTGGCAGTCAACTAAACAAGTATAAAGCTGATATAGAAGTAATGCAAATTCTTTGCTCAGTTCTTACAATACTAGCAGCAAATGTTCACATTAGTCACAAAACCCCTAACCCACAGGATTGTTACCTGAGGCATGAGTACTATGAGAGTAGCATCTCTTACTTTGGCGTAGATGTATTCTCAGCAATGACTGTTCGTGGCTCAGCTGGGCGGACAGTGGTTGAAGACCGTTTCACTGGTTTTCGTGGTGTGGCAGATGAGGAACTTCCCAATTGATTGAACTTCTGTTTATCTACAAGAGATGTTATCTATCTCATTATTAGAAACAATGTTTGGTATATTTTATATTTAATTTCCAAAATTAAAGATGTCACTGCTGCAGATTACAAAAAAGAAGAAAAAAAGTTTGTTGTTTTTTTTTCTTCAGAACAGTTCAGCATTTCCATGTATCTTGCCAATAAAGGAGCTAAGATTTCTGCAGTTAAACACAATGTCAAGAACCCTTTAAGGGAAGCTGTTTAGTTGGCCATAACTATATAGAATATTTATATGAAAAATTATGAAAGCAGCTACACAGAAATGTTTCTAAATAAAACCATCAGTACCAGTTATAAAATGTAAGAAAACAAAAAAAAAGGGGTTTTTAACCTGAAGGAAGCTGAGGACAGGAAACAGGTCTATTACAAGATGATGATTTCTCTTCAACCCTAAAGCTAACTTGGCGTTCAAGATGCTCTCGAATTCGCTGCATGTCAGGCTCTTGCTTCTGTTTGCTTTCTCTAGCAGATTCAATAGCACGCAAAATTTTATTTAAGCGATCGTTTGGGATACCACGAACACCCTAAGGAAACAAATTGTAGTGTAAACACGGGGGCTATTATTTCTGGGATTTATATCCTACAATCATATGCACTCTTTTAAACTTCAAATATCACAAAACTTGTAGAAAAAGCACAAAAGTTGGTAATGCTGCTCACAGGTGTAGCCATATCCTCCACAACCCTAATTTCATGGGCAATCCCTCAGGGTCATGAATTACACTTATTTATAACGTGTAGAAATTTAGCTTTGGATTTTATAGATTGACAATTGTGGTACAGGAATGAAAGAGAATAGCAAAGAAGTGGGACAAAGATTACCTCTCTTTTAAATAACTCAAAATAATCTTACTGCTTTAATTCCCAAGGATTCCAGCTTCTCCTCCAGGGCTTGCTCCAAAACAACTCGTAATTCTTTAGTTAAAGACGGATCAGTCTTCAAAGCATTTATTAAATAGTGGTTGCTTCTACCTGTTATATGATCAACTTTCTCAATTTCTGAAATAAGAATGGAAAAATGCACTTAAGAGACAGTCGAAAAAAATCTGCTGTACGCGAGACAATTAAAAATTGCACTGATGCATGCATGTTTTAGAAACACCATAGACATACATATGCACTTTTTGTCTACACGGAGTTGCACTGTTTTTAAAATCCTGGGCTAGCTTACAAAAGTCAGCTCACTTGGAAACTGTAAGTCAGCACCTCGCACTCACCATCATAAGTATCTTTTCATTTTTCTTGTTACAGAATCACTGTGAAGATATATGCCTGAATATTTAACAACAAAGATCTTTACTTTTAGAACTGCACTTGGAAACTTCCGATAAAGAAAGACTATCTTCTGATGAGAAGGTCTCTAAAAGTGGTATTTCAAATCAAAGCTGAACTCTAGCAGGACTTAGAGCAGGAATATGCAAAACTTTCAAGAAAAGCTTCAAACAATGTAATGTTCTCTGATAAAAAACACCTACTGAAATCAAATCTTTGGAAAGGTGACTTTCAAAAGCCTTGGTAAAGACAAACCTTAGTCTGAGGCAGATCATTTCACAGAATATATATGATGGATAATATTTATCTTCAAAACTCTTTCAAGGACAGAGTTCAGCGT